CCAACTATTTCTTAAGGCTTTCTGTAAAGAAAGAAAAAGTAGTGTAACAGCAAATGGAGAAATTCAACCATTGACAGTTATTATTGTTAACCATTTTTTTTGAAGGAGAAAAGCTTCCCACCAACACAGGGAAAGAGAACCTGACAGACCTGGAGGACGCCATGCTACAGGAGCCAAGGAGGAGGAGGGAGACTCTCCCCTATTGACGAGTCTTCCTGGCCCTGAGGTGCTCTGGTGCTGATGCCCCTGAGTCAGGGAGGGGAAGCCCCTGCTCCTGACTGGTGCAGACCCTGCCCTGGGACTGAGGTGAGCTACCTGCATCTGTGCTCTGCGAGGTGCTGTGTGTGGATCTGTGATTCTTCTTGGCCCAGGTTTGCATCCTGGTGCTACTGGGAAGAGTGGGGGTTTTAATGGTGGGGCCTGGTGGGAAACCCTGGGTCACCGGCACAGCCTGTGCAGGAGAATTGAGCACTCTGCTCCCCTTTTCTTCTTGGCCACGTGGTGCGTGGTTCTGCTTGGCTCCCACTCTGACTGCTGCCCTGACACAGGAGTGAAACCCACAGCACCAACTGCCCATGACCTGAAACCCCCAGATGCATGAGAGAAAGTGAAACTTCCCTTTTCACAACTTGGTATGGCGGGCATGTGTTACGGCAAAACAGAATATACAACCCTCGTGTATTCCCTTAAAAGTGTTTCTCTCACATCATCTCCCATGATCAGCGTGGTGGTTCTCACACAGCATCAGGCACACATGTCCACCGCGAAGCCACCTTCCTACTTTACATACGTCTTACAGATTATTGGGCCAAACCTTTTCTTTCTCACTAGCCTCCCACAAAAGTGGGGTGGCAAACATGAAGTCATCTTAAGTGTAAGTTGTTCCCCTTGCAATTACCTGCACATTGTCGAGCTATGTTCAGACCTACAACCAGATGGAGACAAGAAAAGTCAGCTGAGTGATTGGGCAGGCAGGGCTGCTGTAGGTAACAAGGTGTGGAATGCCAGTTGTAAGAATCAGCACTATACTTACACTGTTTTACAAAACGTTTTTCTTGCTCTGCAAACAATTAAACAGTGAAATAAATATTTTGATGACACACAACCTGAATTTTCAGTGTAGCACAAGAAAGAAAACAGAACTTACCACGTCCTTCAGCAGTAATTTCTTAAAAAATAAAAAAGACAAAGGAGTATTAATGTTTGAATTTCTACATATGATTTGTAAAATATTTGGGAACATTTGTTTAACTTTCTGGAACTTAAAGCAGAAATACAGAAATAGTCTTTACAAAAAAATTTTCTCTGCTCTGCAGACAGTCACACTGAGATAAATATTTTCATGACATGTACAATGAATTTTGAATTTAGCACAGGGGGGGAAAAAAAACTTACCGCTGCGTTGTTTAGCAATTCTCTCTTAAAAAAAAAAAAAGGACAAAGGAATATTAATTTTGGAAACACCAAGAAAGTTGTTCCTAGTTTTATCTTCATATAATTTGTAAAGTACTTGGAAACATTGTTCAGCTCTCTGGGGTTTA